GCAGCAGCAGCAGCAGGTTCAGCACAGCAGGGCTCACCTCCAAGAGGAATCCATGGCATTTAACAGAGCCTGGTGAAGAGAGGTGGCTGGCTGTGGAGGTCAATGCTATTTGTTTAAAAAACATTTTTGAATGACCGTAAGCAGTTTCTCATTTATTTTCTAGAAAACAGAAAAGTATTGTCTCAGTAAGTAAGTCACGTTAGTTTGAAACAAGGAAGCACACAGATATGATAGATCCTATCTGATCTTTTCATCTGTGTTTGTTCAGCTCTCTAGGAAACAGACTTCCGATTGATTTTTGATGGTGTTCCTTTTAAAGAGAATCAAAGAACCAGTGTTGTTGTTTTTTTTTTGCTGTTCTAAAATAATTAGCTGTATTTGGTTGAGCCCTCTAGTGACTCCGAATCTAGTGCTTGATTCTGTGTTTGTCTTGGTTATCAACCTGTGTATCATCTCATTGTCTGACTCACAGCTGTGGGAACACCCGAGGCTCTTTGTGGTTTCATGGCTGTCAAGACTGTGGAGTGGCTGGCAGCACTTCTGCTCTCCATCTTCGATAGGAAACATATTTTTTTTATTCTAATACTGTGTTGGAGAAGCTCATTTATAGTTTTCACTGCCATCCAGACTCTTTTGCAGTCTGGTTAAAAAAAAGAAAAAGCTCCAGCAGTGGTCCTTAAACTGTTTTATGGCTTCATTCTCACCTTTGTGTGTTATACAACAAGCGTGGCTCCATAAGCAACACACACCCTAATGTTTTAATAAGGCAACACTATGGAAAAGCAGCATTAGCCGCATGGGACCACAAAGAGGCTCTTTGTATGGCAACGGTTTTACACACACACACACACACACACACAGCATTCAGGGAGGACCAGACAACACAGCAGCCACACTAACATTTACCCTTCACTCTCTCTGCACTGCCCTTGTTATTGCCCAGGCAGGCACAGAAAGGAGCCTTTATATATGTCCAAGTGTGTGTGTGTGTTTGTGTGTGTGCAGGTCTGCCCTACCCTGCCACAAGAGCATGCTATCCATGCCTAACAAAATCACCTCAAGAACACTGCCTTTAATATTATCCTAAGATTCCACCAGCAAGCACTTTAACTTCTCCTCAGGAAAAGATCAGGAAAAGATCAGGAAAGGAGGATTATGGTTCTGGTTTCAAGAGAGAAAGAGAGACCGGGGAAGGGGTATTGTGTGCGAGTGCTTGGAGGTGAGTAACATGTCAATCGGAAATGAATTTTCAGAACAGTTGTTGAGTGTTTCAGAAGACCGTTGGAAGCTAATCCTTCACTGAGCTCTGTTTCATAGCAGCACAGCTCAACCTGTTTTCCAGACCTGGAACTTGTGCTGTTCAGTTTTTCTTCATCATGTAGGGCAAAAGAATTCATGTCTGCGCACAGAATGATTGTTCACAACCTCAAATCAATGCTTACAGTCTAACTCCTTGGTGCCTGTTGAAGTGACTATTACTATGACTGATCGATCACTACCATGATTGTTCACTTTTGAGTGTAAGTATGAATGAGTCCTGGGATAAATCTGAACCCCTCTCTTCCCACTAAATAGTGTTTGTGCACTATTGTTTCCTGTCTCTTCAGATGTCATTGGTTCCCTAACTTGAGTGCACAAGATGAGTTCATCCGTGTGTTTCACATTTTGTTTCTTTTGAGGCTGTAGGTGAGGTGCAAATTATTCTTTACTTTATTACCATTAACCCAACATTTACTTTCCTCCGCCATGTTTGAGCATGATAGGATGACAACTCAGCAAGTTGTGTACCAGCTCTCCCAGTTGTTGTTTCCACTTGAGGGAATGTTCAAGTGATTTTCCCACCCCATTTTTCTGACACCACATGAATGCATGTCTATTCTCAAAAAAACTATAGATTTTTGTGATTGAACCCCTAACCGCTAGATAGTAGTCTTGTGAATATAAACTGAGAGCAATGACGTTGAATTTTACAGGGACTTTTTGCTTAGATTTTAAACATTGCAGACGTTTTTTCTTTAATTAGAATAAATCTCAATATACCGCCTTGCTTACAATATCGCAATATATTCCTATATATTGAATCGTAACCCCTGTATAGTGATAGGTATCTTCTCACCAGACTCTTGTCAATATACAGCCCTATTAAAAAGTTACTTTGACAATTTAGTATTGCACTAAAGTTGGGGGTCGCAAGAGAAAGAACTCGAGGTCCTCAGTCTCTTGTATGGGTGAAGCTTCAACAGCACTGGATCCCACAACTCCAAGCATATTTCAACTGACAGCTTTTTGTCTTTGCATCTTAAATATTAATGCCAAAGTGACACACTGTATACTGAATGATAAGGAGATTCTCAGGGAGTTGGAGTTGGAGTTGGATTTTTGTCAGTCAGTTTGTCAGTGTCTCTATGAACCCAAATTTGAAAAAAACAGGGACAGTTTTTTTCATTCATGTGCAAATGAAAGACGGATGAATATGCAGCCATGACAATTCAACCATTATTTAGTAGCCGACAGTGCAGCAGACAGTGGATAATCCCAGATAATTGTCAAACTGAAATCTTCTTAATGTAGAGCAACATTAAAAAATGACCATAATAATTAAACCACAGAATAAGTTTTAATGGACCAGGCTCCAATAATGCTGCTAGAAGAGATAATCCCACAGTCTTTTTTTTCTCTTTGACCCCACTCTCTGGCACATTTGTCCATTGCTTTTTGGAAAATGGAATAGTCTCCACATTTGGAAAGAGGACTAGACTCTGTTTTTAACATGTAACATTATTATCCTATAAAAATGAGGAAATGCAATGACGATTCAGTTGTGAAGCCCCCTTTACTTAACTTTCACCTCTTGTATGTAATTTTATATTGCAATAACGATATACAAGTATGTACAAAAACAATCAAGACATTGTTTATTATGTCATCACATTGCTACCAAAAATATTAATATTACCATAGAGCAGAGCTGCTCACTGCCTAACAGTTACCATGTTCACCTTAGTTTAGCATGTTAGCAGGCTAACATTTGCTAATTAACACACATTTGCTAATAAGCACAAAGTACATTTAAGTGAAAACGTTGACTTGCTAGTGGTGCTACAGGAAAAGTCAAGGGATCAGCAAAGTCATTAGGATTCATCCTCAGGGCACCGATATCTTTATGATATGTAAGGGGAATCAGGCCCGCGGGATATGTGAAAATTACAGAGAAGACAGA